TGCACCGTCTTAAGAAAATGGGGAAATGCACAAGTTCACGACGTCACAATCAGCATTTAGGAGGTCATATCGGTTTTTACTTCATAGAATTTCAATGAATTACAAAACGTGAATATTAATTTCTTACAACATTTCCATATTTTATAAAAATACAAGGCCAAATTTGCACTGAAACTGTACCTTGTTCTTTCAAAACATTTACAAATTTAAAATAAGTCATTTATCAAACCAACACATAACTTTTAGTATCTTCACCGACATAGCGCTCACATAGCCCAGCTGTTTTCAGGATATTTTGAAAAGAAGAATGCTTTAGACATGCTAGAAATACTACTTGCCCTACAATATTAAGTGCAACACTTAATGATTTCAAAATACACTTATCAAAGCAAGGTTACTCTCTCTCTCTTTCTCAGAGATTGATCCTACTATCAGAGAAATGATCAACACAACCCAATCAACAGCCATTATGTAGCCCTACGATATTAGTTACTAAATTTAATCCTTGTATTAAAAATTAATATTAATTCTGAAATATTACCTTTCTTCGAAATCCAGAATGTAGACCTTACAACAAAAACAAGAACATGGATAACGAGTTAATCAGGTCTCGCCTAAAAATTAACATCATAGTATGTGTGTCTCTGACCCCCTGATGAGCTACTTAACTGCCAGAACACTCTTCAACTACTTGCATAATACAAATTTTTCTGCTCTGTGCAAAAGTATATCTACGATAAGTGTGATTTGCTCTTTACAAAAGTCTGGCTGATTGATGTCGCTTATTTTCACAAAAAAAATGAAAACGTAAAATGATCAGAGCAGCATTAATAAATTACCACTTGGAGGACCAATTATTTGCAATGCCATAAGATCCTGCAAGTCTGGCTGATTGATGTCGCTTTTTTTCACCAAAAAATGAAAACGTAAAATGATCAGTGCAGCATTAATAAATTACCACTTGGAGGACCAAATATTTTGCAATGCGATAACTACCCCTACAATCAAAACAGGTAATATTGTGATTTTTATTTCTTCTCCTTACTATACAAAAACAATAATCTTTTAAGAAACTACAAACTTTATGAACACTATTCAAGTTTGTGTAATTCAAACAAACGCATAATTAATAATTTATGATGTGACAAGGATGCACAGGGACATAGAATTTAATCAACTTCTTTTTGCATGGACAAGGACTAATACTTCAGGACATTTTTTCCTCCCCATTTCAAACGGAATTGGACATTCCATATCCTAATTCTGAGAATCTAATGTTCTCACTTTTTGCAAACAAATACTTTGAATTTGACAGAAAATATAACAAAAAAGTTAAAGGAGAAAGCATGATCGCAATCCAAAATCCAAAATTTCTTTCACATCAGAATGTATTAAATTACACAATTCCATATAATACCAACAAAATTTTTTTCCACGGCAGATACAGTGATGATGGTTTTAAAATATTCAAAGAAACCAAGGCCATCTTTAGATATTTGTTTGGTTGCCCTCTCACGACCAACTGACTTTAAATGCCCCGACTCAAAACATTTTTTTAAAAATTAGAGTTCACGATTTTTTTTTTCTTTTTATTTCTCATATCCTTCCGCATATACATTGTATGCTTAAATTTTCTGGAAAAAAGTATTTCCCATCTACTACGGACCCAATAATATTACCCAGAGCCGGGAGAGGGCAAGCAAACAATAGTTTTAAGATTACCAAACCAGAGATAGAAGAAAAATTTGCAATCACTGCCACAAGCATTTAAGAATTGAAATTTTGATGTCTACTGTGAACTTTCTTAATACTACAGTTTACAAACGACATAAATTTTAAAACTTTAACAAACTTGATATCAAGTCCTTTATCAAACCAACACATAAATGGTCAGTATCTACACAGACAGACAGACAGACAAAACGCTCATAGTCCAGCTGTTTTTTTAATAAAAGAAGAATGCTCAAGACATGCAAGAAAAACTACTGACCCGACAATATTAAATGCAACACAGAATAATTACAAGAGTGATTTATCAAAGCAAGGATACCCTACCTCAGAAATCGATCCTATCAAAGAAACGATCAACACAAATCGATCAACACCCATCCTTAAAACATTGACGAACAGCCATGGTGTTACCCTTTAATATTGGTTACTGAATTTATTCCTAGAAAAAAGAAGGAATTTTGAAATATTGGCATATCTTTCTTAGAAATCAAGAATGCAAAAGACTCTTTTTAATTTTCATGCATTCATAGCTCACAGCATACACTAGAACATAGGTGGGTGATGAGATAATCAAGTCAAACTTAAAATAAACATAATACAAGTATTTTTTAAAAGCTTGTCTGACGTGAGGAAAATTTATTATTATACGAAAAATTAAGAAAAGTGGAATCCAACGTAATCAACACAACCCTGAGTTCAGAAATAAATGATTTTGCTAAGGAACGCTATTTTCATTGTTATCAACGTCTTTTTATTAAAAATCGTTTCTGAATTTAGTTTACATGTAATTCTGTATTTAATTTACATGTACTCGTATTTTTTTCATGGCAGTAGAAACCGAGGAGATAAGGACCCCCCACCCCCACCCCCACTCCCAATGCGTTCTTGATGTATAATATTATGCTGAATAAAAAAGAGCTACTTTTTGTCCCATGTATCATGTAAAAAAAAACATTCATGATAATCATTACTTGATAAGGAATTTTTCCTTGATGAGTACCCAAGAATTAAAAAAAATTACTTATGCACCCCGCTCATCGGAAAAGTTTAGTGTAAATGAAAATGCAAATAATTCAAAATTGATTTCTTTTCTTCTATGATTGTAAATATTAAAAAGTAATAAGTATGAATGATTTCCTATTGAGGCTAATAAAATCAATAATGTTGTAAATAATTGAACTTTTTAATGATAATGAAAAAAGGGAAGAAGGACCGACCACAGAGGGCCTGTGATATATGCTGTTTCTTGAGAAGAAAATTGCTTAGACCGTAGCATTTACCTCATTTCGCTACATGTGAATTTCTGTGTCAAATTGTAATATTTAATTATTTTATCCTATTTTTTCCTACCTAAACCTGCTAGCCTTTGTTCCCAAAATTTCATAAATAGACCAAATGCACCTTAGGGCTAGACCCCCCCCCCTTCTTTTTCTGTTTATATTTGGGATCGACACACTTTTCCCCTATTTTTGTATTCTAATTTGCTCTACATGACTGTTATCGATAATGTAATTTTTTTTTGTTGATAAGCTGTATTAACTATATCGTTTTCGACTGACACTATCTTTATATATTAGTCGAAAACAATATATTTAAAAACAGCTTATATACACATAAAGGTAACAATAACGATAAAATGTAGTGCATATTAGAAATAATGATCAATATTTTACTGTTGATGGATAAAATTAAAAAAATAAAAAAAATCAAGAATGACCATACTAGCATTCCATAGCTATGTATTTAAAAAAGTCTTCTTCCTAATTAATAAACTAGAGGTACTGTTAGCACTGAGTTTACTATATCATACCCCGCCTCCCATATGATTATAATGACAAAGTCCATGTTTTGCTTTGGGAGACCCGAAATAAGTGACAGATCAAAAGTAAAATAGAAGGTGCAAAATGGCAGGATATTATGAAGAATCTGTGAAAGTATATATCATTAAATTTTATTCAGTGGTTTAGGAGGAGTTGCGGATAAAAGATGGATACTCTTCAATATTATTGAAAATTTGATTAAATGAAAAAGTATCTATTTTGCTCTGGGAAACCCGAAATAAGTGTTAGCTCAAAAAGTAAAATAGGAGGTGAACAATGACAATCTGTACTAAAGATTCTATGAGTTGCGGATAAGAGATAGGTGCCCCCAAAACGTAACGGATTGACGTACAGACGGACGGACAGACATCCCGATCACTCTTTACCCTCCCACTTTTCAAGCGGAGGGTATAATAAATACATCTACAGAGTCTATACAAGTATACTACACATAAATAGAATGTAGGAAACAAATACTAGTATATCTAATACGCAGATGTAAAACTAGTAAGAAATTTAAGAAATCCTTTTGCCAGTTAAGATGCGGAATGCATATTTGTGAATAACAATATGTTTGTAACATGAACAAAATATAAATTGATTGAATCCCAATTAAAAAAAATCATTGAAAGTGGAGCAAAATTCAGAAAAACTAGTTAGACGTTCCTATAGATGTAATTTATTCTGGTTTCTTTACCTCGATGATGTCATCTATTGCTGCTGTGCTGTACCAAACATAGGAAGATAGTAGTTAGTATGAGAACTCCTGATGAGTTATCACACAATAGTCCGCTTTACTGGACAGAGAGCAACACAAGAAATATATAACAATGAAAAATGGACAACAATTTTTTGATACATGTGCTCACTCCTCCATGACACCTGATTCCACCTCTGATGTTTTGGAGGTCTGTGTTTGCTCTGCTCCTGTTTTGTTTTGTTTTATTGACCTTTGAGCTTGTATGTTGTTTGTTATCTCAATATATTTCTTGTGAGGAATTCGGAGATTATGTAAGATATTGGTGCCTCGGATATGAAAACCCAGGGGTGCTATTAGAGAAGGTGGGAAGAGTCAGATCAAGATATACAGTTGACATAAAAGTCATCCGATTCATGGAATGAAATAATAAAATTTACATCTGTTGTTAGGTACACGACGTGTAATCTATACAGGCTTCAGAGCATAAAATTAACAATTATAAAAAAAAAGCTAGAAACGATCTCGTTGCGAGCAACGAGAGGTCTTCCGTCCGATTCAGGAAAAAAAATCTCGTAAAATCGAGCTGAAAAGTGATTCAAAATTTTGGTCGCAAAGAGGATTGAACCAATGTTGCCTTTTTCTGTTTTATCCCCAACGCACAAACCATTAAGCTTTTGGGAGTACTGCTCTAAATATACTTGTGTGTATACTTTTGCAACAGTACACCTGTCTAAGAATCATAAAAGGCGGGTCACTATTAATAATTTGCGCCAAACGCCACGAGTAAATATTCGCGCATTTTCTTTGAACTTATCTATTTTAAAAATAGGTGTGGTAGCTTCAATGAAATAAAATAAATAAAACGTTCTTATCGCCTTTATTTTATTTCGACGTTTAAAAAGTCTTTGTACACATTACATATATCGTATCTAGCCCAGTTACACTAAAGTAGTGAAACGGAAATTAAGCGTTAAGATTGACACTGAATTGCAACGAACTACTACATGAAAGTCCAAGTACATGTAGTTTTTTTTTTACATTTCATGCATTCGTATGTCAGAATGGTTTAATCAAACGCTCAGCTGCCTCCATAAACCCCAATTGCGAAATGGCGGAATTGACAAAGACAGCCGCCATCTGGGGCCCGCTTCAGATTTTCAAATATTAATATCTAGAATTCAGATAAGCCAATTTTCAAACAACTTATATAGTAAGCATCAAATTGTTAAGATGAATACTTTTGCTCAGGAATGTATAACAAAATATTGATCATTAGAGGGTTATAGATAAAAGACTTTTGGCCCCTCTTAGCCCCTAATTTGAAGGGTCAGCCCTATTTTTTTGACATCAAATGAAAGGTCTTGCGATGTTGCACATTTTGTCTTCAATATGTTTTAACAAATTATGAACAGGTGTGAAGATATGAGACAAAATGCGTCAAATTTTGTGAGATATTTCTGAGACATTTTTTCGGACCTACCGAACTCCGGTGCTTTTTGCGCTAGAAAGATTTGGAGACCCAATTACAATTTGCCAAACCTTCCTCTATTTTCCCTGAAAATCTCAAATCCATATCTTAAGTCGTTTCGGAGGAGTTTCCCGGACAAGCCGACCCTCTAAAAATCAGTAAATAGTCCATATCTCACGACAGGAAGTGACGACGTACATATAAAAAATATCCAACAAGGTTCAGACCAATGTCTATCAGATCTGAAAGTTTCGTGAAAATCGACCGAGCCGTTTCCGAGAACTCGCGTGCACAAAAATCGGTAAGAAAAAAAGAATAATAATAGGGAAAAAGAAACCGAACGAAAACAATAAGGTCTTCTGTTGGAAACGGAAGACCTTAAAAATGTTAGAACTGTTCTAGTCAGAGTATTCTATTCCATTAGTCCCCAACGTAATCAATCAGTAATTCTACCACAATTATCATCGAGATCAAAGAGATGTCACGGACAGTATTCTCTTTTAACTCACGAATGTCATAAAAAATATCAGATCAGAAACAGAAGTGAAATATCTACAGTTACTGTAGAATCTAATACATATTTAGACCATATCGATGTGTCGTCTTATTCGCTTATACTAGTACCCAAGTAGGGCTGTTCCAAGGACCTTCCCATAACATTCACACTGCCTGATTTTACTAATAAAGCAGTGAAAAAAACAAATGATTTTGAAATTTTACATTCATAAAAATTTATCAATATATGTTACATACAAATTGAATTTCATAAATATTTTAAAGGGTATTTTGAATCCATTATTTTGAAAGCAGTGATGCAATCGATACGCAAGTAAACACACAAAATTGACCGTCTGGTGTTAAATAGATCAACGAAATTGCAACATTGTGACCTAATTCGTTTCTCTGTTAGTTGTCGTGAATGATGCATGATACTAGTAACCTCCTTGGTCTTAAAATGTCTAAAATAAATAGAAACATCGGGTAATGCCTCGGCTTTTATATTTCAGTCATCATTCTCGACCTCAGAGGTTATCCTGCAACAGACACGACAACGTGGACTCTTAAAAAACAAATTTCTATGATGCCTATATGTCACAAAAAATACATGGAATGCCTTTTTTTCTCAGTAGAAAACGAAAATTAAATTAATTGTTTAAAATGTTCCTACGAGAGACATCGTATAAGGAGCCAACACATATCGAAATAAAATGTTCATGTATTTTTAATCCAAGCAACAATAAATTAAAGCCACATATATGCTGTCAATGGGATTTACAAGCACATTTCGTATTATAAATATAAAATATAGATTCCTTCGAGATAATGTTTTCAAATTTATTCAGTATGATAAAATGTGTCTCAGGACACGTGTGTAATGTTTCCATCGGTTTAGTCATTATGAAATATGTTTTTGTTGGACAATATGGCAAATGATTTTATAAACTTGAACGATGGATGTAATTTTCATGTCAAACCAAAACTGCTTTAATACGAAACCAATGTCTACTATTGTTTAAATTTCGAAGTTCTTATTTTCGACGAAACCAAACATACGTATATACATTGTACATTGATCTATTTATTGTTTGGTTGCAAACATTGGATTCATAGCTATTGTCAAGTTATATGAGAATTGTACGTCATAATTTTAGAACTTGAAATCATTTTACATGTTCATCTCAAAACAGCAATTCATTTTTATTGAAGCAATATTTATTGAATGATATAATACCGGTAATTCATACACATTATTCAGACACCGTAACTTGCATTTTCATTTTTTCCAATTCATATACAAAACACAACACATCGCTGAAAAAAAGAGATTGAATACTGTTTCATTGTTTCAATTTGTAAGTTTGATTGTCAAAATGTGTTTTCCATTCACCAGACCCTTTTATATCTGTGTTATTTCGAGCGTCTATGCGAGATATCAACCACGATGGTGATGTTGGATAAGGGTTAAAATTCAAATCAACCCAGATTTGTAGTTTCATATAATTCAGTAAAAATAATTGAATACGAATGAAACACTGAAAATACCTTTTTTATTTTTTATTTAATCAGTGCAATATCAAAGTGTAAGTATTTCCTTTGATCTTTTACATCAAAATAAGAGGCACTTAACGGGATAAAGCTAAATATACAGCACATGAATCAAACCGGAGTTGGTTGTAAGACTACAATTGAAGCTTTCATGAAAATATACAAAAAAATTACTCAAGCAAATATTTTGCAACAATAGGCCTTCTAAATATCTAACACATTGTTTACTCATATAATGTATTCATTAAAATTTTGCGAAATCTATCCGTATCCTAACCTTTCGGATTCTTAAAGGGACCATTTCTTGTCATGGGATTCGACCCCCAACAATTCTTCTTCTCACAGAATGCACAGTTTCAGGCCTATGGTTTTTACACATTTATAAAGTGAAGGTATATAACGGGTAAATCATAAAAAAAAACTTTTATTGTACTCACAAGATGTAAAAAAAAAAATCAAACATTATGAAAATTATCATTAAGTACTTTTCTGTAACGAGAAAGACGGTCATTTCAAACGGATTTAAATCATTTATATGTCATTGATGTTTTATCAATCTCATTAAAACTAGTCAACGTAGTACTTGTAGAAAAAAAATTAAAAATATGTTGCATAAAAAACAAAAGTTTTACCCACTGTGAAGATATAATCCCATCTATTCCCCAGAACAACAAGAAAAATTATTTGTTTCATTTACTCCGACAGATCTATCAAAATCTCTCCTACCCAAGTATACTTTCAACACTTTGATTTTTTTGTAAATTTAGTTTCAATAAGAGATTGTTTCATTTTGAAGCAAAGGTTTTTAATTTCTCTAGGATGCTTTATAATTGAAATAAATAATAAATAGGTCTAGTTATCCACTGTGAATTGAAAATATCAAATAATTTCTGAGTCTGTGGTTTTTTTTAATGGCAATTATCAATTTGATCAATACTGTAAAGCAAAAAAAAAATTAAAAACCACCTACCTACTTACCCTATTTGAAAAATGTGGGTTGACTACATCAAACATAAATATTTTTAATGATGGACTTAACTTTTATATACCAACAAAAGGCCTATAGTCCACACAGTTCATCAATTTGGCTAGCACAATCAATTTAATACAGAAAGGGACATTTTATTGATAAAATGAACATATAGTTCTCCGTGAGAAACATCAATGGCAAAAATAACTTGCTTTTATTTTCATGATACTTAATTTTGTGAAAAATCTCTGTGTCAACGGTCAACTCTCAAGTTTTTGCTCTCATGATTGCAAACATAAAACAGCTATATTCAATGCTCATATTATAAAAACTTCACCAAATCTAGAGGAGAATGAAAGTCGGAAAATCGCAGATCTGAATACCTCTTTTTTTCTATCGTTTCTTCAATTAATCTCATAGAAAATGTAACTCTATGTTATGTAAGTTATGAAATGTTTCTCTTTATACATACATAGATAGTGTATGTCATTTTCAATCATTTTCAATAGAATTGATTACACAGAAGTTTTCGAATGTAGCAAATTTGTCTGTTTTTTCCCAAATTATTCTTTTCCAAATAGTTCAATTTTCAAAAAGAAGTAAATCATTTAAAAGGGTCTAAAAGGGGCTGGCACTTGAAAATGTCAAACACAATTTTCTCGAAATCACCATTTCAGTATCACCTTGATGCTAAAATGTACTACTTTGTAAAAAGCAGGTTGATTGTCGGCTTGATCTACGCAAAGTTACATCCGATTGCGCATGCCAAAGTAAAGATACATTTCGTCTAACCTTTGGACTGTAAATGAAATAAATGATGGGATTGACTGAAAGGTTAAAAAGCCAAACGACTCGAGCAAAAATTTGAATGGCCTTGCTTTCACGTTCACTGAGCACTCTGAAAAAGTTTAGAGAAAATGTAATGGGGAATATTGCAGCAGAAAATATGTAAATGATCATGATTATCAAAATCATGGTGGACATCTTTCGAACGTACTGACTCATTCTGCGTCTACTGATAGACGTCCTTAATTTGTAAATTTTTGTCACGTGAAAAACTAGCATAAAGATACAAGGAACAAAAAGAAGATAACCTTTGAATACCAATACTACAATGGCTATCTTGCTTCTTGCAACGTGAAATCTCGCAAAATAATAAATAACTCCAAACATCACGCTAAAAATCCACATTAAAATTGATGACGTCAGTACATGTCGTTTTCTAATCGTCCTTGATCGAAGAGGCACAGCTATCAAATAATACCTCAATCCAAGCAATAGCACTACGTGTGATGCTGACGCATGCGCTGTTATGTAGATGATTGTCATAAAAATATATCCATAATTATCTACACGATATCTGTTGATCGCTGCAAAAACCAGATGACATAGATATTGGATCAGAGACGCAAAATCCGCAATAGCCAAAGCTCCTATCACCACGTAAGTAGGTTTGTGAAACTGTGTTAAACGGATAATAATTCCAATTGTTGTCAGGTTGGCAAGAATTCCAAACGCTGTAATGAGACTGATTATTACCAGCCATAACGTATCTTCTGCTTCTAAGTGGACAGGGATAATAAACTGGGTCTCCTCTTCAGTCAAACGATCTTGCACTGTTGATGCTGCTGTTGTAATGGAACTGTTTAACGGATATTGTCCCGTTCTCTGGAATAACAATTAAACAGTTAGAGGTTGATTTACTGCAGAACCTCTCATTATAGACGTGTAGAGTAATTTTGTTGAATAAAGTTGTATCAAATTTAATACTAGATGTACTGTGAGCACTGCGCTCACTAAATGATGCCCCGCCTCCTATATTATTATAATGACAATGTCTTGGTTTTGTTTCGAGGAACCCGAAATGAGTTTTAGATCAAATAGTAAAATCGGAGGTGCCATTATGTAATAAAGAATCTGTGAAAGTATCATTAGATTTTATGCAGTGGTCAAGGAGGAGTTGTGGATAAGAGATGGGTACCATTCAATTTTATGGGAAAAAACGGCAGTGTCCATGTTTTGCTATTGGAAACCCAATATATGTGTCGGATCAAAAAGTAAAATAATAGTTGCATGTACATAATGACACTTTGTAACAAATATTCTGTAAAAGTCTAAATAAACTTCATACAGTTGTATAAGAGGAGTTTGTGATGATAAGAGTTGGGTACCCAAAACGTAACAGGCGGACAGCTAAACGGACATCACGATCACTATATAATCTTCCCACTTGGCAAGCAGGAGCATATAAAGAGACTAGAATCTGGGACGCAATTTTTTTTCAAGACGAAAGTTTCCGGATCATCTGTCTCCTTGGGAAATACTTATAGAGAAGAAACATTGTTTGAAACGGTAAACAGGAAAATACAAAAAAGGGTTGTGTGGAGATATTGTTCACAGCTTGTCAGGCAAAGCTGAAGTCATATACTCGTATGTCTGACGCCAAAGTCCGATGTTCACGCCAAAGTCCGATGGCTCGTTTCCTGTGAGACGCGCTGCGCTAAACTGCGATGGTCTGACACGCCAAAGTCCGATGGTGCGGGGAAACAATTAACGTTTTTAAAAGACGTCACAATAATTCGAAGAGAATCACTTACGCTGTTGTCCTTCATCCAAAAGCCATCATTTTTTTTAATTCGCCCTCGCATTCATTTTTATTGATTTTGCTTAGTTTTTGCTTGCACCTTCCAGAGATACATGTACATGTGTATTAGGATTATTTCTCGCACACCAATCGACTGATTAGGATTAGTCCTTGCCTCGCATCAACTAGAGAGATTTAGGGTTAGCCCTCGCACACTAGTCGATGATTTGGGTTAGTCTTAATTGCATTCAACCAAGATTACGGTTAGTTTCGCACCTAGTTGATAGATAAGGGTTAGTTTTCGCACCTAGTTGAGAGATAAGGGTTAGTTTTCGCTTTATGATATTGAATGATATTTATTTATACTAATTTAAGACCTTGGCCTGGCGCGGCATTGAGGTTAATTGCAGTGGTATTATGACGTCATAAACGTTAATTGTTTTACGCACCATCGGATTTAAGCGTGTCAGACCATCAGGGATTGGCGCAGACCATCGGACTTTGGCGTGGCCATCGGACTCTGGAGTCCTACATATATTTCAGCCTTAAAATACCGACATGATAAAGAAGCTAGGAGCTTAACAAATTATACATTCAATCTAAAAAAAGCCGAGGCCCGTGCAAGCGGCACAGTGATAAGAACGTTTTCTCTAGAGTCTCTGGGTAATGCTAAGGAGCTGATCCTTCCCTCGCTTGTTTGAACACTGCTGATGGATGTAGGGACAGGTCCTTCGTATGAGGCGTTATGAACGTACGGCAGTAGGTGCTGGGAAGAAAATAAGATGCATCACTGCTAAAAAAGGCTATCGTGCATGGCGAGTGAGACACACCTTTCCCATCGGCAATTGCTGACGGTCTTAGTAGTATGAATGGAAAAAAAATCTCGAAAGGACATTTAACAAACAAACATAACACATAAAATTAGCGGCGTTGTTTGGAGTCTTTAAAAACTTGCACAATATAGTAATTGCATATATTATACCTATTCTGAAAGTGTATGCTAAAATATATCCAAAAAAGTTCACTAAATTTATATACAAAAAAATAAAAAATAAATTGAAAGCTGAAAAATCTTACCCTGAGGATTTTCATCCCTCTAAATACATACAGAATTCAATCACCGGAATATTGTCCTTATACAACTACCATCTGCTCTAGCCACACAAGTGACAAAACGGAAAATACTGTATAAGTAAATAAACACTGGAGGATGCAACAAACAGAAGAGCTTTCTGTAAGTTTTCCAGGAAAAGAGTGAAAATTCAAAATTTTAACGACAAACGACTGACTTGTTTACAACAATTGCAAGAATCAAAATAAGGGATGACATTTTAAAAGAATGCAATAAATGCAAGTAATTCAAAATTAATGAATATTACTGTTCTGGTTGCAGATACTGAAAAAAAAACAAAAAATATTAAATTTTAAATCCCCATGAAGCTAATAAAATCAATAATGTTGTCATTGACTTTTTATGAGGCATGATGAACACCTGGACTGTCTTATCTTGGCAAAATTACTGCATGTGTACATTAATTAACGTATTCAAAATCTAGCGCAATTACTAGGTTTTGAGTTGTTGGCATATTCATGAATTAGCGGTACACAAGTCCGGGCCGTGCATTGTATAATATAAATGATTTTTAGCGGTATTCATAAATTAGCACATTGTTGTCAGCGCCAAAGCCGCTAAGCAATGAAGTCTGCTACACGCATAAAGAATATACACATGTCCATTTATTGTTAAGTGATATGCTTTTTTATTTTTCTATTTCAAGCAAGAATTTATGCATAATTTAATATTCTATATCTATGCGAAGAAAGGAATTAAGATTTTTGACAAACTGCGACATTTATAATACATCAATAAATTATAATGTAATGACGTCATGTGCATCCTATACTGAAGATTCCTAAATATACGCGTGGAATTAACTACATCGCATAATTTCCCGAGAAGTCCCACACGCGAAATAAAATTACTGTCCTTTATTATTATGGTGCCGAAATGTATGTAAAATCTCTTTATCAGCCGTCCATTCGCGAAGCATAATTTTCTCGATTTGCCGTTGAAGAGCCCATTCACGATAATAAGTACTCGCCAAAAATAAGGAATCTACAGTAAATTAAATCAAGATAGGAAATTAAGCAGGCTGGGGGTCAACAAATTAACCACAAATTAACCATCAGATTTAATATAATTTTTTTAGATATGATATCTTAAGCTGTCAACTATCATTTTGCAAAGTAAAACTTTGAAAATTTTAGTTTTAAAATTTGATCTTTGTCTATATCTTCATATGGAGCTCTTCTTCTAACGGAGATAAATATAGCCTAAAAATGGCCACAACCCAGCCCCCATAAAATCCTATTTCTCCTGAGCATGTCGTTTACGTCCTCAGGAAATGCAACAACAATTATTGATAAAAATAACAGTATTTATGTATTTAATGCGAGTATTGATATAGAGTAAATCCTTTATTGTAAAGTTCTTAGATCACGCCTTGGCCAGTGTATAAATTAACGCCTAATCAAGAATGTTATAAGGTCGCGTGGGCAGCTTAGCGAGTCAGTTGTATTTTGAGACCCGCATCGCTGACCACTGATTGGATGAGGCACGTCTAATTTGAAGACATATAATTACATTTTTTTGGATTGTTATAACATCTAGGAGGCGTGCTTTTTATTCTGTTGAGTACCCGATGTTAAGGTGCAACAAGAGGCCCATGGGCCAAATCGCTCACCTGAGTACTGTGACGAAGAAAAAAGCAAATTCAATCCAATTTTTGAATGCTTAAAATGCATGCCGTCTCGACCTACCCCTAAGAGTAGGAAGGGGGAGTCATGATTTTGATAAACTTGATCTACACTACCTGAGCATGCTTCCATTTAAATATGACCAATCATGGCTTTGTTGTTCGTGAAAAAAAAGGTTTTAAAAGATTTTCCCTATATATTCCTAGATAAAATTTGATCGTCCATTGTGGCCCAACCCTACCCCAGGGGGTCATGATTTGAACAAATTTGAATCTACACTACCTGAGGATGCTTCCAAATAAATATGACCAATCAGGGCTTTGTTGTTCTCAAGAAGAAGATTTTTAAAGATTTTCCTTATATATTCCTATGTAAATCTTAACGTCTATTGTACCCCCACCCTACCCCTGGGGGTCGTGATTTGAAAAAAAACTTGAATCTACACTACCTAAGGATGCTTTCAGATTAGTTTCATCTTTCTCAACCAAGTGGTTCTTGAGAAGATTTTTTAAACACGCCACCAAATTTTTACTATAATTTCTTAATTATCTCTCTCTGAAAGAAGGCGAGGTCCTTCGTTGGAACAAACTTCAATTCCCTTTATCCAAGAATGCTTTGTGGCAAGTTTGGTTGAAATTGGCCCAGTGGTTCTGGAGAAGAAGTCGAAAATGTTAAAAGTTTACAGACAGACGGACGGACAGCTAGACAGACAGACTACAGACAAAATATGATCAGAAAAGCCCACTTGAGCTTTCGGCTCAGGTGAGCTAAAAACCAAAGTACTATCGACTGTTGTCACAGTTTGTGCTGATTGAGTTTATTTTATTCACTGTGTTATACTTGTCCGATGGTGTTGGTGATAAATGCGGGCAATACAGACGTGCAGATATTTCAATATCCATGTGATGTATATTTTTCTGATGATTAGTCTTGATTAATGATATGTTGCATTTGGCACTATTTCACATTTGATTAACGGAGATTCATAATGTGTGTGCAAATATTCTGTGGTTATGTACTGTACATAACCGTACATTTACTGTACATAACAGTTTATCTATGAATAACAACGCTGGCGGTCTTAATTACATGCAATTTAACAGCCGTCGAATTGAAACTTGCTTAACGGCCTTCTACATAGTTCAGTTCATTTGTTTAATTATGAATAAAAGAAGAGAAAGCAATTTAAAATATATATAAAAAAAACAGTTAAACATTAACCAAAATATAGTGTTACATCTGAAATGGTAATAAAACCCTTACACATTATTACCTGAAAACCATTAAAAAGGGGGAGATATGCATGTGTTTTGCAGCTACATGCATTTAGTATTAAAATTAAATTCGATAAATTGTCCCAAATATGAAACACTCCTGATCGCAGACATAATGAATTGCTCATTAATTAATGACAAGAATCTAAAGTATGATGATGAAGCAGCCGAGGTTATTATCTTTAAAAATGGAGCATCTAGTTTTTAAAAACAGGAAAATTATTTATGTTAATTGACATGTCTTGCATAAAAATTATTGATTTTCCTTTTATATAAAATACACGAGGGAAGAACTATCAGGAAATTATCAAAATACTATGGTGAATGATTCTAGCGTAGCTTTAATAAAATTCCCGCAGGTATTCATTCTAAACTATTCTTTTTAAAAGATGAAAAGCAAAAGCGAATATAACACACAAGAGAGAAAAATGTAAAAGTCCACTTTTAAAACAATCAAGCCCATCAGACTGATGAAATTTGTAAAACTAAGAGAGAAAAAAAAACAAATCAAACAGCAAAGTCAATGTAAAAACGTCAAAAATGTTAGTATCCAAAGGAATATCTTACCTTTTAAAGTTATAAAACTGTGAAACATATAGGACTATTTGCGAAGAGTGCTGACTTTTACATTTGACGTTTATTTCAACATTTAAACCTGTCTCATGTATGGAAAAACAGGATTGATAATACAAAAGATAACGTTTCTCGTGATCATAGCATGGTGTTTGGGGCACTAGCATATGAAGGGTGGTATTTGAGGGTAGGTTGTTTCTTGTATTCTTCGAGGGCAACTTGTATGTGCTTTATTTCAGCTCTTTATTTTCGCTTAATTAAATGTTGATCTTAATATTTTTATTGCAAAAGAGCTACCGTATATTGTCCAAGTGGAAATGTAAGCCGTCGACTGTAAAAGTCAGCGCTCTTCGCAAAAGTTCAATGACAGTACTAACTGTTCAAAAGTTCTGACCAGGGTTGAAGTTGTTTTTTTTTTTTAAAATTGGTCAAACTCTAATTTCAAGGTCAAAAGTTCCAAAATATTAGCGAGCGCAGCCAGCTCAATAGACTAACGTGTAAGAACAGAGGAAATTCGGAATGAAATCTGTACATACGTCAGGCAAATTTCTTTGTGAAACATTCCCAGAATTCCTTTACTACCCAATGTCCTTTGCGCGAATAAATAAATAATAACTAAAGCATTAAACGTTTTCAGTTTGTAGAAATCTTTCAAGGAAACAAAATATAACTCATGTTTTCCGACCCAAATTGCACTAGGCTCTGACTAGGTCTATAGTTTCAACCAGACGCTCGGCTGTCTCCGGAAGCTTCGACGAGCTCTGTGACGTCGTGTGTCGTCACAGCTAGTCGAGATGTCGAGAGGGGCTTGATGATTGCAATTTTTCAAGTGTTTTTGATGGTACAACTGCGCTCGCCCCAACGGTCACACCGTAAAACATATGATATACTCACTGAAAGGTTTTGCCGGAGCGTCAGGGGATGCTCTTTCCTCCTAGGCATCAAAACTTATTTTGTTTCCATGAACCCATGTTTTATATAAGATATATTTTATGTTGTAGGCACGCACAGTTGAGAAGAATTAAGGCAGGGTTTATTGATTTGATGATACGCGCAACAGTATAACGGTAGGTACAATTGCTCTGGGGAGATATATCAAATTTAGGGTACTAGAGGTGTCGGACTATAACAGAGTCGGACTATTACAAAGTCGGACTATTACGGAGTCGGATGAGATCTCACGTAATCGATAGATACAAATATCTAACTTAATTTAAGAAAAGTCTTAATGAATTAAACATTGGTTTAATATCGTTAAATAATTACACCTTACACATTTGATTTATTTTTAACCTTTCTTTAAAAACCGTTACTGACTCGTGAGTTCAATTCAATTACAGATAAATTTAATCTAAATTTGGAATTCATTTGTATCTATCATCAATACAACTAAAAAATAAGTTCAATAATTTGTAGAGATATGTATTACCTAAATATAGATGTTTCTATTTGAATTATCAGATACCATAGGACCAACTTATCTGAAACCTCCTTTGTATACTGTAGATTGAAGTTTGAATTAAGTATTGATTCCGTGATAAATCATACTGATTCGGGAGCATCCTCGGTTGGTAGTG